GGGGGACAGCTTGAGGCTCTGTCTCAAAAAAAAAAAAAAAAAAGAAAGTCATTATTAACACCACTATTGGTTGTATTATGATGCTAGGTATGAGGGAAGCCCTGCAACAAGCCTGGCAATGTCTCTTCCCTGAGGCTGGCACCAACATGGCCATCCTTGGGCAGGCAGGCTGGCAGAGTAGTGGTTATTTTCCAGGCTGTACCAGCAGCCCCAGGATCTGGTGTCCCTGTCCATTGGGAACCTGGTGGGTTTCACCTACACCCTTGCTCAAAGTCCATGCCCTTTCCCCACCCTGCAGATGGAACCAGAGCCAGCAGAGCCTCCCTCTGCAGCAGTGGAAACAGCCAATGGTACTGAGCAGACCCGGGTGGACAAAGCACCAGGTGGGCGGAGCCCACTGAGCACCCAGGAGCTGATGGCTATCGAGGATGAAGGGGTCCTAGACAAGATGGTATAGCCAGATCTGGTGGGCTGAGGGATGGCAGGAAGCAGGGACCAGCAGGCACTAGGTGGTCAATGACAGGGGATCTATACTGCAGCTGGATCAGACCACAGACTTTGAAGAGCGGAAGCTTATCCGGGCTGCGCTGCGTGAGCTCCGACAAAGGAAGAGAGGTAGAGAGCCAGTGCCCTACCCTAGATTCAGCTGCCCCATTCCCCAACTGCTCCCCTCACTCCCTGGGGTGCCTGTATGGATACTCCAGCTCAAAAACTGCGCTACTCAGCTTCTTTCTAGATCCAGCTATTCCTTTTCCCCCTTCCCCTTGGAGCCAGCTGCTCCCTTCCTTAGCTACTTCTCTTCTCCTGAACAACTTAGTTTCTGCCCCTACCCAGCTTCTCCTTTCCTGGATGTACCTACTTCTGCCCCCAGATACCTCCTCCCTGGACACAGCTATTCTTTCTCTCAGATTCTAGATTCATCTGCTTCTCCAAATATTCTCAATTACTCCTCTGAATCTAGCTGCTTCCTCCAGGGCCCACTCCATCCCCACCCACCCTCCAGCCTCCATCCCCACCCACCTTCTTCTTTAGACCCAGTTAACCCACTTCACCAGCTTCTCTCCCAACTACTCTTTCCCTGGACCAAATTGCTTATCAGATTCCTCCAATTACTCCCTCCCTGAATCTAGATATTTGTTCCTCTAGCCGCTCTTCTCCCCCTCAAAGACCCAATTGATGATTAGCTCAGCTACTCCCTCCTGACTAAGCTACTCATTCCCATTGAAACTCCCTTCTTGGGTCCAATACTCCTCTGAGTTCAACTAGCCCATATTCCCTAGTGCCTAAAGGAGTCCATCACCCCCTCCCACACCCCACTCCCTGCCAACTTATAGCTGTCTCCTCACACCCCCAGCTGCTCCTAGAGGGGCCCTTGTTACCTGTGTCATTAGTGTTTCTAACAAGCTGCCCTCTGTCCCATCTTGTGTTCCCCCTGTGCCTGTTCTGTGTGGGTATTGGGTGGCCTTTCTGTGCATGCATGGGGCATCCCCCACCCAGACCAGAGGGACAAGGAGCGAGAACGGCGGCTGCAGGAGGCACGGGCTCGACCAGGGGAGAACCGCGGCAACACAGCCACTGAGACCACAACGCGGCACAGCCAGCGGGCAGCCAATGGCTCAGCTGTCAGCACTGTTACCAAGACTGAGCGGCTTGTCCATTCTAGTAAGGAGCCAAGCAGAGCTTAGGGCTCAGGGTAGCAACCACATCCTCCTCATAACCCTGAATGCCTCTCACATCCTTCTTCTCACCCCCTGCCCCTCCAGATGATGGCATAAGGACGGCCCGCACCACCACAGTGGAGTCAAGTTTCGTGAGGCGCTCAGAGAGTAAGGCCACCTGGTGTCAACCTGTGCCTGCCTGCCTGCATCCTTGGGCTCTTCCTCAAGCTTTCTCTCCATGTCTTCGACTGCGCCATCATTCTCTCTTCTCTGCCTGTGGCTATCACCATCTTTCTACACAGCCTCCTACCCGCTTACATGCCTCTCCTCCTTTTTCACAGATGGTAGTGGCAGCAGCACAATGCAAACCAAGACCTTTTCCTCATCCTCCTCATCCTCATCCAAGAAGATGGGCAGGTGAGCATGTGCACCCATGCCCAGACTACAGAAAACCTCCTTGCGAACCCATTCTGCAGAGGAGTAGACTGAGGTGCTGAGAAGTGACAGGTGTATAGTCAGGGAGGGGCAAAGTGAGTGACCACTCCTACTCGCTTTGTGATCTCACTTAGTCCTCAGCCACACCTTGGAGAGGTGGATGCTTAGGGAGGCCAGAAACTTGCTTAGGGTCTCACAGCTCTGAGTGGCAGCAATAGCACTGAGCCCTACCCCAGTGAACTGCTTGGAGGCACTGCCATTTCCCAATGTCTACAAACCAGGTCCCAGACCACCTTTACTCCTTAACCCCATGAGAGAGAGGTACATCCCATGTTCCAGAGGATGCTGGGGCTGACACTAAGCAAGAACAGGGTCTGAATCCAGGCTGGAATCCAGGCTGGGAGCCGGAGAGGTCCAGGGATTTTAAGTCAGAGAGACCTTATTCAAGTTCATCCTCTATCTATCCTTTGAAATTTTAGGGAAGTTACTTCTATGGAACCTCAGTTTCCACATCTTTAGTGGAAATGGTAAGGGTCCCTCCCTCCTCTTGCTAAGTTTAAAATGCCATGGAGGAAAGGCTCAGCAGATGTGAACTATTATTCTTAATACCATTAATATAATTATGCTGGTCATCATTTTTATTAGTTGATAGTGCCCAGTGGCTGAACTCACCTGTAACTTGATGGTACAATGAGTCTTCTCAGAAAACTCCCTGGTGGATGGGAGGCCAAGCTTGATGAAAACCTTCGTGTTTGAGCCTCAGTGTACTCCTCTGTAAAATGGGTATGATGGAGAAGACTTCTTTGCTGGCAGGCATTAGAGGTAGTGGAGATACTGGAACACTACAAGACGTCTCTCTTGGCAAGTGGTAGCCAAGGCTGGGGAGTATCTCTCCTTCCCCCGCCTAAAAGGCACCTCCCCAACACCTAGCATCTTCGACCGCGAGGACCAGGCAAGCCCACGACCCGGCAGCCTAGCGGCGCTAGAGAAGCGCCAGGCAGAGAAGAAGAAAGAGCTGATGAAGGCACAGAGCCTGCCCAAGACTTCGGCTTCCCAGGCGCGCAAGGCCATGATTGAGAAACTAGAGAAGGAAGGCGCTGCGGGGTGAGGGGCGGGGCCTGTGGTAGTGGGCGTGGCCGGAGGGCCTCTTGATCTGTGGTGGGAAGGATCTAAAAGTTACAGAAGGCGGGGTCCGGGGTCGGTGGGCTGGGCCGACCTGATGCTGCAGCACCTGTGGTTTTGTAACCTGATCCTGACACCTCCACAGCAGCCCGGGCGGACCCCGAGCAACAGTGCAGCGGTCCACCAGTTTTGGGGTCCCCAATGCCAATAGCATTAAGCAGATGTTGCTGGACTGGTGCCGAGCCAAGACACGTGGCTACCAGGTGAGCCTAGGATGCCAAGTGGCCCAGAGACAACCTTAGATCCCAGCATAGCACCTCCTGCTTGGCAGAACTCCTTTCCATTCGCCTGCACACTTCACAGACACATGTGACCTCACAGGGAACATGGAAAGCCTTATTCTGGGATGAGGAACTAGACTCATAGAGGACACATGACATGCCCTGGATTCCAGATAAGTAATTAAACGATTAACAGGGCCCATTGAGGGTGGTAGACACAGTTCAAGGCCAGACTCCACTCTTGGAGTCCTCTCCTCACTGTTTTGTGGGGGACGCTCAGCAAGTTTCTTTAAAGAGGCCCAGCTGCAGAGGCTCACATCTGTAATCCTTGCACTGTGGAAGGCTGAGGCAGGTGGATAACTTCAGGTCAGGAGTTAGAGAGCAGCCTAAGGAAGAGTGAGACCCCATCTCTTCTAAAAATAGAAAAATTAGCTGGGCATTGGGGCTGGTGCCTATAATTGCAGCTACTTAGGAAGATGAGGCAGGAGGATCCCTTAAGCCCAGAAGTTTGAGGTTGCAGTGAGCTATGATGATGCCATTGTACTCTAGCCCAGGCAACAGAGCAAGTCTCTTTCTCAAAAAAAAAAAGCATACACACACACACAAATATCTATAAATGATACAAGGTATGATGGGGCATAACCATCACCATAGCTGGGTGGTGCTGGGTGGGCTTCTCAGTGACTCTACCCCTAAATCTTAGATGTAGTAGTTGACAGACCAAGTTGGAGAATGCTCACATCCTGACTGCTCAATCATTGTGCAGCCGTGAGCAAGCTACAGGGCTTCTCTCTGCCCAGTTGCCATAGGTCTGGAATGCCAAAACACCGGGGAGTTGAGGGCATAGGGGAGCTGCCCCCAGGGTCCTGACCAGTCCTCCTACCATCCATAGCACGTGGACATTCAGAACTTCTCTTCAAGTTGGAGTGATGGGATGGCTTTCTGTGCCCTAGTGCACAACTTCTTCCCTGAGGCCTTTGACTATGGGCAGCTTAGCCCTCAAAACCGGCGCCAGAACTTCGAAGTGGCCTTCTCATCGGCTGAGTAAGTGTGGGCCCCAGTACTATGGGTGTCGCTGGGCATTAGGGCCAGGCCCAATTGTCCTGAGACCCACTGGAGCCAGCCAGCCAGCCACATTGTCAGTCAGCAGCTGAGACCCCCTTCCCCAGAGAGTCCCCGTCCTTCTCCACCCCTGCCCACCTGATGCTGAGCGTGCCAGGTGCCCGCCGGAACGAAGGAGCCGCAGGCCTGCCCACCAGGTGGCCCTGTCCATGTCCCCTCCATCTTCCCTTTGCCCCTTTCTCCTTCTCTCTTCCCCTTTCTCTGTTCTCTCCTTCCACTATCACCAGAGCTTTCTGCTCCCACGGGATCCCGGCTGGAGATTCCAAAAGGAGGCTCTGGCCCGGGCACCGTGCCAGCCCAGCCTATATAGGTGCTACCAAGGCTTATATAGGACATCCGCAAGCCCTCCACTTTGGAATCATTGCCCCGTCCGCTCACCTCACCCTCAGCACCCTCCTCCATCTGTCTTTCCTTCTCTCCTTTTCTCTTTCTGGTTCCCCCCAAATTCTTTTCTCCTCCTCCCCCCACCTCCTTTCACGCCTCCCTCACCCCCCTTCCCTGGGGCACAGCCCTCCTCTTCAGCCTTGGGGCCAACTCCATTGCCCCCCACCCCGCATTCCCGCTTGCCCCAAGAGTTCTCTGCACCTGTGACTGGTTTGGCCCCCACCCCTGTCTGCATTGCACACCATTAGCGATGGGTAGTGAGCAGCACATCCACATTGGGGAGGGGGCATGCGGGGGGGCTGGCAGATTGCTGCACTGGGAATGTAACTGAACTCATGTCTCTGTGTGTGTATGTGTGTGTCTCTCTGTTCTCCTCCCCTCTCTTCTCTGCCTCTCCCCTTTCTTACCCACCTGGGTCCTGCTCCCTGCACCCCTGCCCCCTTGCCCCTTCCCGGCCCCCTACCCTCCCCAGGACCCATGCGGACTGCCCGCAACTCCTGGATACAGAGGACATGGTGCGGCTTCGAGAGCCTGACTGGAAGTGCGTGTACACGTACATCCAGGAGTTCTACCGCTGTCTGGTCCAGAAGGGGCTGGTAAAAACCAAAAAATCCTAACCCCTGCTTGGGGCCCCACGGTGAGAAATGCCGCCTCTCCCACCTGCCCCATTTCACCAGAATCTGCTCAGCAGGGCACAGAGATAGGGGCCTAGGAGATGGGTGGAGGAATCAGGGAACCCTTAGAAAAGCCAGAGAAACAAGACATGGCCCTGTCTTCTGGTTGTTCAGGGATTAAGCAGGTGAAACTATTCTAAATGGGCAGCAATGACTCAGGTGAGCAGGACTGTGATGGGGGAAGTCCAGGGGAAGCACCGGACCCAGGCTGCAGGTCTGGGACTATCTGAAATAAATGCAAACTAAACTGGGATCTGAACAAGTTAAGGCTAAAGGAGAGAGAAGGAGTTCCAGGCAGAGAGACCAGTGTATATATAGGGCCAGGGATGAGATAGGTGGAGAATATGTCATACCCACGAAGGAAAGGAACTTGAGTCTGGGTGTGAGGGAGGAGAAGGGGGCCACCAGCAGTTTAAACCTCCTTCTGAAAAAGCAAGAGTCATAAATATTTCCAAGCAGGGAGGGATGGATGTGGTCAGGTTAGCTTTCTAGAACAATCCTTGAATGAGGCCTGGATGAGAGATGGGATGGAGCAGATAGCTGTAACAAGCTTAAGAAGTAGAGTGAGGGACAGGCTTTCTGATAGGTTTCCAGTTTGGGAACTGGAGAGTTAGTGGTGCCATCCTCTAAGGTAGAGAGATCAGGAGAAAGGCCAGTTCAAGAGGAAGAAGTTTCTGGTTGGGGGGGTTCTGGCATTTCCTCTTTGGCCACCTCATCTCAGAGCCACAGTAAAAAATTCACATCCTGAACTAACAAGGAACACAGAGAGGTAGGCTTAGGGTTTCCCAGGGTTGAGTGGGAGTAGGTCAGAGCTGGGGCCTGAAACTTGAACTCCAGGCTCCCTGCTTAGTGTCTCTTTTCCTTGCCCTATCACTGTTTTCCCACCCATTTTGTAAAGAGGATTAAAAATAGAGGTTCAGAGGGAGCAAAGGAGTGCTGAGTCAGGGACAGAACTAACTGGGGGTACACTCAGATGCCCCTCAGGCCTGGAGCCATTGTAGGGGGCAGCCTTTGTGTGCACACATACATTCAGAGGAGCAGTGCAGGTGAGGGAAAGATGGGCTTGGTGCTGTCTCCAGGTCATATATGGACTTAGGAGCTGCTGGCCAGGGAGGGAGAGGGGCTCAGCTCAGCCCAGCTCAGCTCTAATTTAGTTGGAAAGTGTGACTCAGCTGTGTTGTTGCTCAAGTTGCCTGGTGTTTGGCCTGTCACTGAGACAGCCTGAGCCCTAAGCCCTGAGCCGTGAGCCCCAGTGTAAACATGGCTTTATAAGGTCTCCAGGGAAGGCACCAGGGGTGGGAAGGAGCTCCAGGTTGGGGAGGGAGGCCGGAATCCCTGGGAAGATAGCCACAGCTGGAAGAAGCTTCAGAGAGGCTTGCCTTTGGACCATGGTACAGTGGGGAGGTCAAACCTGGTATGGGGTAGGGGTGACCCCCAGGGCACACAGCAGCAGCAAAGCCAGGAACCTCTGTGCTTCCAACGTCTCAAATGAGGTAGGGAATGACTGTCCCATTATAAAGACGGGAAAACTTAGTCACAGAACAAGGCTTTATCTAGCATCTACAGCTGGTCAGTGGTAGAACCACACTGAAACTGGTTTTCTGCTTCCTAATCTCCTTCCTTGAAGAAGTTAAGGTGAGCAGGGAGTAGGACCAGCCCTGACACAGCCCTAGGTTTAACCATGAAGGCCCAAGATAGGAAGTGGTCTTGGACTCTCAGGTGTCTTGGGAATAAGAACAATTCTTGCCTTTATGCCTCCCCTGCCAAAGGAAACTCATTCAACATTGAATGTTTGGTATGTGCTGGGCATGGCAGATGGGAGAGAGCAAACAGGGAGCAAGGCAAAAGAGGTCTTACTTGGGGAGAAAAGGGGAAAGGAACCAGAGAGCAGATGCCAGCTGTAGCGTTCTGGGGCTGTCAGTTGCTTAGTGGCAGCAACCCACTCACTCTAGAGTGAGGGAAGGGCTCTAGGCAGGTGCCAACACCCAGCGCTGAGGACTAGCCCTGCACTTAATTAAGCTGTGGGGCTTGAAACAGCTTCTCTGCTCTGGGGCTCAGTTTCCCTATTTGTAACATGGAGGTAGCACTCTGAAGGATGGTCAGAAAGTTGTTCCCATCCCTGAGCATGGTCTAGTTGGTATTGGCTAGGATCCTCATCTGCCTTACCTGCTGTACTCAAGGCAGGTGACAAGGGTTAATCAACCCACCCCACCCCTACCCCACACACTTCCTAGCATTAACGTCCAGCAGCAGAGCTGTTTTCCTCATCAAACCCCCACCCCCATGGACAGGTCCTTGGGCCTTTTGGCAGAAGTACCAGGTCCAGCAGTGAGCAGATAATCATCACGGGACCAGAGGGTTGTGGAGTCCTGGCCATGGAGAAATATTTATCAATGGTGAAGCCCCTCTGGGTGCAACAGCCCAGCAGGAAGGCCTGTACCAACTAGAGTGTGGGCCAGTGAGAGTGAGCAGAAGGTGGCCTTCAAGAGAGGCCATGGGCAGCATCTGGAGCCAGCCCAGGACGGGGAGAAACTTGAGACCCAGCACCTGCCTGACTGGGATGGGCTCTCTTCTCCCCCCCCACCCCCCATCTCTGCCTCCACCTGCCTAGCTCCGCTCCCCTACAGGGGTGCCTCTGGGCTTGGGTGGATGCAGCCAGGGTTTCCCTGCCTTCCTAGAAGTCTTTTCCCCAATCAAGAGTCTGAAGTTTTTGAAAGACCAACAGGCTACAGCAATGCAAAGACCTTAAGGTAGAAGGGTGCTGTGAGAATGGGCCACCGCTGACAACCACCCCGATGCCCCCTCCCTGCAGGATGCTAGTGGACTGCGTGCCCCTGGTGGAGGTAGAGGACATGATGATCATGGGCAAGAAGCCCGACCCCAAGTGCGTCTTCACCTACGTGCAGTCGCTCTACAACCACCTTCGGCGCCACGAGCTGCGCCTGCGCGGCAAGAATGTGTAGCCTCCGCCCGCACGGCCTGCCGGCTGCAAGCTGCCACCCCGACCCTCTGGGCACAATCCTCTCGTGCGCCTGCCCACTGCTGCCCTGTCTGTCGCGACACCCTCCCCGGCACACGCAGCGTTTTGATAAATTATTGGTTTTCAATGACCCTGACTCCTTTCTGCGACTCGAGGGTTGGGGGGATTTGACTAAAAGGCAGCGCATTTGTCTCCAACTCCCAATAGCCAGTTAGGAATGCAAAGTCTCCTGGGGGGATTTAGGAGACTCCTATTCCGATATCTCACTCCACTCCTCTGCAGTAAGGAAGGAGTCGAGCCTCAGTTAGGCAGAAAGGATTTACTGGAGCTGGGGATGGAAGAAAGCAGGTTGGGAAAAACCTTCCCAACTCCATTCCTGCAGGCTCGGGGACGGGGAGTCGGCGCTCAGCAAGGGAGATATTCCCGGGATGCTGAGCGCTTCATTCTGTCTCCGGGACTCAGGCAGGGTGGTTCTAGTTCGCGCGTCTCCGGACTACAGGTCGGTGTGATCCGAAGTTCCCTCGGGGAACCTAGCTGGTGCCCACAGGTATTCGGGGGGCACTTGCGCGTCGGGCGCCGTCTTGCGGTAGAAGCCAAGCTCCCGCACCAGTGCGTTGATCTCCTCACGGGTCATTTCGCTGAGAGGGATACGCTGAAGTGGAGAGGGGCGGGGTCAGCGTGCCATCCCTGCCTCTAGCCCCGCTCCCCACCCGTCACCCTTGGCCTCACCTCCAGTTCTTCATAGCGGCGGCCCAGCAGCACAAGCTCTGGGTCGGCTCCAGGGAGGTGTTTCATCACTAGGTTGTGGCTGGAGATTGTGTTAAGGTGGGTAGTGCTGTGCTGATGTGAATAGTACTGCCTCGTTTGCTGGGCGCTTGCTCTGTACCCATGAGGAGCCCGAATTTTCATTTATACGTGAGAAAATTAGGGTTCAGAGAAGTAAAAGGCTCTCTTCTCTGTAGCAGTCATCCCTAGTCAATCCCTCTTCCCCATCCAATATGGAGACCACCTCAGAATCCTCTGGGATGTCACTTCCAATCAATTCCACTCATGAGTCAAAAACCATTTGCCATCCCTATCTGTGAAGTTCAGTGGAATGTCCCCTCCCCATTTCCTCTTCCTCAGAACAGGAGAAGGATACTAGAATGGAATGTCCTGAGTGACGAAAGCCTTCACCTGAGAAGGAACCAAAGCTTTAGAGAAAATGATCCCAACTCCCTTCCACCCCCAGATACAGGTGGGACCACTACATTGAAGCCCAGTTGAAGTCATACAGCAAGTCAGGTGCAGCCTCCTGACTACCAGCCCAAGGATCCTTCCCCTGCCCCAGGACTATGTTGCCACTGCCCAAGAGGCTCTGGAGGGACATATCTGGGGAAGCATTCTTCAAACTCACCTCCTTTAGGCGGTTCAGCTGTCATCCCCCACATGTCTGGAGTGAAACAAAATGGGACAGGTCAGGGGTCCTTCACACGTACCCCAGCCACACCCCCGAAGCCATTTCATCCTCAATCCTGAGTTGGGTTAGGTTGTGAGTTATCCCTGAACAGCAATTCCCAAGGTGTGTAGGAGACTGAAGTCCCTTATGGGCAGAAGGGGAGACTCTGTATAGGTGGGGAAATTCAGACCTAGAGACATCAGGGGAAAAGAGTAAGGCCAGAGACTTACAGGTTGCTTTCCCGCAACCTTGGGGCTCTTGCCTGAACATCCTAGTGACTGTTGACTCACTCCTAATGCCCAGGAGAAGTGATGACCTTGCTCCTCTTAGGCAGTAGAGACCTGGGGCTGGTCTTTGACCCCTGAAATCTCAAAGTGGCAGCAGACCAGAAGGAAACAACTCACAACTTCCCTGGGGCCTCCATTAGAGACACCTACCATCTGGTCCCTATCCCATTGCAGGTAGAGCTGGCCCTGCCTGCCACCTGCAGCTCAGCCCCACAAACCATCTGCTTGCTTCCCTGAAATGGCAGGATGGGAGGACACCTTGCTGAGTTTCCTGAAAGGAGGCCACCTCCCAGCAGGAGTCCAGACCCCAGGATCACCCATTCTAGGTCTCTCCTTCATCCCATTCCCTTCCATCAGACAGATTCTAAGACTCAGAGAGGGGCTGTGGATTAACAAAGTCACATAGCAAGCCAAGGACTCCAGAGGGGAATTTCCTGGCAGTGGGGGAAGATGGGAAGCTTCTGCCGAGTGAGCGTTTAACAACCACGTTACCAACTTGGTTCCCTTTCCAACTTGGCCCCCTTCTCTAGCTCCTGCATGAGGGGGGACACCCAGAAAGTGTTCTCTCCCCCCAGAAGAAGGAAGAGAGACTCCTTGGAGCCCCAAGCCCTAGAACTGGAGTGGGGGAGGAATTCCAGGAAAACACGGAGTGATGGGGGGATGGGAAGTTGGGCTCCAAGGCGCAGGCTTGGGAGAGTCATAGGCCAAGGCAAGAGATAGGAGGCCAACGTATCTGGGGACCTGCTGGTCCTCCCGGAGGTGGGAAAGGGTTCAGAGTTTCAGGCCGCAAGGTCGGGTGTCTCCAGGTTCCACGGTGGGTGCTGGGGCAACCTAAGGCTGTTAAGTGGGAAAGATGGTGGTTCTGGTGCCAGAAGGAAAGGGGAGCTATTCGGGGTAGGGATATTCCTGGGCCCGAGAAGGAGGTGGTCCCCCCTGGCTATGTGGCCACAGTTTCGGAGGGGCAGTGGTTCTTGCGCTGAAGGCCGGCGCACTCACCTCTACCCGAGCCCGGGCCAAGCCCTGCAGACGGTTCCAGTCTGGCCGGTAAGTAGTTGTGGCTGTAGCTGAAGCCACAAGCGCCGCAAGAAGCAGCAGCAACTGCAGCGGCGACGACAGCAGGAGGCTCATCGGGGCCGGCCGAAGAAGATGCGCAAACCGGAGGGGATCCTCCCGGTAGCTGCGCCACGTCTGGGCCCCGCAGGCGTGCCCCTCCCCTACTGGAGGTCCCGCCCCTCCATGGGCCCCGCCCTCAGCGCGAATTCTGCCCCCTACGTCTCTCACTGTAGCCTTCTGCTAGCCTGGGGAGAGGTCTCCGGCCCTCTCCGGCTCTGAGGCCTTCACTTTCCCAGCCCAGAGGGTGTCCGCGCTCTTTATGCGGATCTAGTGTGGACATTCCCGCAAGATGTGGCTGGACGGCGCCACCTGTCGCCGGCAGGGGGTGGAGGCGAGACGCTGACGGGCGCGGGAGTTTCTGGGCCAGACACTCCACATTTAATATAGGGAAGGCGGGGGGTGGGGGGGTGGGGGTCCTTGTTTGTGGCTTTTTATTTTTTGGACGAAATTCCAATCAAGGTTTCGGTTCTCTAGAGCACACATTGTGACAATGGAATATTAACTACCCTGTGGGGTTGGCAGGATATAGGGGCTAATACACGTAAAGCTCATTACAGTAGTACCTGATAACGTGTTAGCTTGCATTTTCAGTTCCTTCCTTACCTCTGACAGGTCGTGGGAGCTCCATTTTGCAGGTTTGAAAACAAACAGGCTCAGAGAGGTGAAATGACTTAAGTTGTGCTTCTGGGATTTGAACCCCAGATGTATCTGTGCTCACAGCAAAGATAACCATCTAAGGATCCCACTTCCCCTCTTTAAGAGTCTTCAGCAGACACAGCAGGTTGATCACTGTGCTCTTTTCCCAATGAATCTTCCCAAGACTGCATTATGACTTTCATGGCTCCTCGGTATTTTTGCATTCCTTGGGCCCTTTTCTCTATTTAAAATGTACATATTAAAAATTAGATTTTATGACTGCTTTCCTAAAAAGATGAATATGAATCAGGCTGAGATCATTATCATATTATTATTTTTTTTTTTTTTTTTTTTGAGACA